AGCAGGCAAACGAAGAATGCGTATCGTAAATTACACTAGACAACAACATTCAGAGAATTTCTCACATCTTATTGAGGTCAAATAATGAAGAATATACTATATTTTAAGCATACATAAATTCGATCTACATATATTTACATAGACAATAAATTAATAAAATAAATATAATATTTTGTTAAACGTTTAATTATATGACAAAATATATATATATTTATTTATTTTTTTTTTTTTTTGCTTTTGTAAAGTAGAATATAATATATGGTTTATGATGAAAGCGCACGATTTTGTGAGCTTTTTATTGGCTAGCTTCATTACACACGTGGTCAGTTCAATAAGCTCTGGGATTTTCTATATATGTGAGAGTTTTTAGAGTTTTGGTAGTAATAATATAAAAGTAATTCTTTTGCCAACAAAATAGGAATGAATAAATAAATAAAAAAAATACAAAATTAGACTTGATAGCCAATTTCAAAGTATATATAAAAAAAATTTTTTTTTAATATAAAAAATATAAATATATATAAAAATAATATATATAAAAAAATTATTAATATAATTTTTTGTAATACAATTGTAATACAAATAAATATTGTTCAACTCGTAAATTATTATTTTTTTTTTTTAATTATTACATAAAAATATTTATGAAATTCAGCTAAAAGAAATTTTGCCATAATTTATAATTAGGCTCAAATTCCTTGTAATACCTAATTGAAGAACTCTAAGCGCGATTTGTTCACACCTGAAGCAGCTTTTTATTCGCAAATAAAGCACATAAATACCTCAGGCTTCTGGCTCGACATATACGTATATTTAACGAGCTCCCAGACATTTTACGTTATATGTTATAAATTTTACTTGGAAAAAAAGAGAGAAGAAAAATGTGTATAATGTGCCCATGTGACGGCGTTTCTTTGAAGTTGTTTTTTCTATAAGGGAATTGAAATTTACGACTCAAATAACATTAGAATATATTTGAAATAATCAAGAGCAGCAGCCAGAGCTCGTTGAAATATTGTTTAAATAGCTTTTAAGAAATTGACAGCGACAATTAAACATTTTAATTCTTGGCATATTTATAGCACTCGGCTGCTAATCTCTTGATTTATTGAGCGGCTGGATAAGAACTTTTGCATGCTCGAACTCAAACAGAGCTGGAAACTAAAACCTTTTATGCTTATGTGTGTGTGTGTGGCAAAGGGTTGGGGAGGAGTGGCATGGGGCGCGTGGAGTCGAGTTACACGAACTAATCTGAAAATTCTGCTGACCTCGTCGGCAGCCAACTGCAACTTCAATTGCCCGCTAAGCACTTTCCAAAGACTTTTTTGCATGGCGCCCTCGGAGCGAACAAAATTCGCTTTCGCTTTGCCTTCAAAATGTTGTAAGTTCTTGTTCTTGTTGCTGCTGTTGTTGCTGTTGCTGTAGCAAACAAGTTAGACAGCAATTTCGTGTGCTCAAAACATAATTAAGTGCTACACAAGTTGTTAAATGCACCAAGTACGTAAATTTGTCATAACAGAAGCCGTTGATGATGTACTAAGCGGCAATAAATTTTACTTTTATAAGAAAACTGCGAGGCAGAAGAAAACTGAAAACGAAAACAAGAAAACTCAAAACGAGTCGAAAAGTAAGAATTATAAGTATATAAAGAACAAACTAGAAATCAAGAGCAAGTGAAATGAAATGAAATGAAATGAAATGTTTAACCAACAAGCTCAACAAGTAGCCAAAAGGCTGACTGATTGACTGACTGACTGACTGACTGGGCTGACTGGCTGGAGGGACTGACTCAACATGGCTAGCTGGGCGAACCGAGCTGTTAATGTGGCCAGTGGCCAAAGCGAAATGTCAGTTGAAGTTCGCAAGTCGAGCGCAAAAGTTGGAAATTAAATCAAACATAAAACTGAGTACAAGAAAATATTCGTTCGTGCCACGTCCTGGCGCCGCTGTTGGGTCGAAAAATGAAAGGACGACATGCCGAAAGTGTTGCACAACTTTCTTATATACTATTTGTTGATTTTACAAAGCAGCGATGGGGCACGCACCCAGCCAGAGATCGGCAGGCGTGATGGATTAGCAAAGTTTGAGTTTAACGGCAAACAGCAGCAGCAGCAGGAGCTGGCAGCAAAGGTCGCCCACAATGGCAGCGTTGGCCTGGCAGATACCCTGCATGAGTTTAATTTTGCAAAAATCTATGAAACTTTATACGAGCAACTGGTGCAGCCAACAGCTGAGCAAGAGCAGGAGCAGCAGGAGCAGCAGCAGCAGCAGGAGCAGCAGCAGCAGCAGGAGCA